AGTCTTTGGCTGCTTTAGTATGAGTAGAGGGTCTGGATCAAAGGAGAGATGGGCTTAGACTACACCCAGGCTATTGTGGTTCAGTTTGGGGACAATATTTGAAGAGACATTGACAAGCCAGAGTCCAAAGAGGTACAAGAAGAAAGAGTAGAGCGTTAGAAACACAATTAGATAGACAGTGATTTGGGGAATGTTTTGCCTGGACAATTGGAAAAAAACAAACAAACATGACAATAGGTGTGTGTCTGTTTGTAATGTCTTATACCAGAGAAAAGAACTAAAACTGGGCAGAAGTCAGGAAGAAGCAGCTTTGAAGCCAATATGAGAGTGTATTTTCTACTGAAATGAACTGTTTCACATAGATTACATGTGAGACATGTAATGAAGCATGAAGCAGGAAACCACGGCTTGATGCCATCTGTCAAGTGTCTAGAGATTTCTGTATCAGATGGGAAGATGGACTCCTATGATACTCTTTGAGATCCCTTTCAAATTACGATCCTAAGCAAATCTGTCGTCTGGAAGGAGATACAAAAATTTTTGAAATTAATTTCAAAGTTTAGAGAGAATCACACGTTCTTCACTTAGAGACGATCTTTCGCAACTAAAACCAAACCTGAAAAATTGAAACCCAGGGCATGGTTACACATCTTTTAAAAGAGCCAAAGAAAGTTTTGCTTAAATAATCAATCCTCTAGTTTTATTTCTATATAGTTTCTTAAACATAGTGGGACCCATATGTTCATTAACATGACAGATTGGTGCATAGTTTGGGAAGACCTGTATTCTGTACCCAGGAGAAACTCTTATAATTGGCACAGGTCAGTGATTTGGATTTTCTCAGGTTCTTTCTGTCTTGTGTAACATAAAAAGCAAAGTATGCCTTCTAGCTTTGTAACCTCTTTTTTTCTAAGCAAAGTCATCCAGTAAAGATCCCACCAGTTTTCAGTTTTGAACTAAATCTAAAATTCAGTCCTGAACCTACTGGTATGTTGACTTTTATTCAGTCCTAAAGGATAAAACAGTAAAAGTGCAGATGTTGTGCATGGTCGAGGAAACATGGTACATATCTTGTTTTTCGGGTTCGTGGGCTCTCAGCTTCAGAAAAATGTGTACAGCACTGTGAGCCATGAAGGTTTTCTCCCCTCACATTTCAAATCACTCTTTCATTAACTCTTTGCTAATCCCTCTCTTCATTCCTCATTTTTGTTCTAGGTTCAGTATGTTATAGAATTAATTCTTACCTCAGCTTCTCTCCCTTTTTTTAAACTCTTTATATACGTACACCCTTTTGGCTTTTGACAGGTTATCTTAACATTTTTTAATCAACTCAGTGGCAAATATAACGGACTCAAAGCATTAGCTGTGCACACTGCATTTGAAAGGTCAAGCAAATAGGAAATCTGGCATCCAGAGTCCTCTCCTCTTTGATACTAAAACTAGAGACGAAGAGGATGAGAATTGTATGAAGCTTCTCTTATCTTCTCTTTCTTCCTGATGTGTGATGGTGATGGTGGTGGTATGTGTGTGCATGTATCTGGGGGGAAAAAAGGGGAAGAAGAGGGGAAAGGGGAAGCGAGAAGGAGGGGAGGAAAAACGAGAATTGGATAATATTAATAATTGCTATAATATATATGGCTATCATTGAATTGAAGCAAAAGTGCATAAGAGACACAAAGGGTTAAAATCGCAGAGGGAAAAGTAGATCTCTTGGACTGAGGGAACTGAGCTGAATCACAGAGTCCAAGCTTGGAATATTCAGTCCACATACATTTCTCCAGGTTCTATTTACAGCCTCCCGGTAATTTTCAGTGGTGCACCTGCTGCATTTCCAAGGGGGCAAGGTTTATTTTTGGCACAACCCCTCCTACTTCTCCCCTATCTCTGGCTTATCTTTCTCTGACCTCCAGACACTCAGCATCCTCACACTGATCTCTGGTTTGCCAAAAACCTGTTAGTACTCCCTGCCATCTCTTTCTCCTCTTTCCAGCCCCAAACCAAGTCTTAATCCCAGACTGTGCAAGGAGGTAGTTGAGCTGGTTATCTGATTAAAATAATCAGATAGAAAAGAGTCTTAATTTCTGTTCGAAAGATATACTTGAAAGAGGAGGTGTTGGCTTTAGTTGGGTCTCTATTTGCATTTTCTGGTTCTTGGGTAAGTAGCTTTTCATCCGAGTCCCAAATTTCCACCCCCAGAGCACTTAAAACACATTAATCTAACCGGCAAAATGTAGATGGGAACACTTTTTGAGTTAGGGTATATATGTGGGCTCCTGGCTAGTTAGACAAATTCTCATCCTACTCTCATCAATCCAGAAATCTCGCCAGTCTCACCCTCCTCACTTTTATAAACGATATAATTCACAGTAGAATGAGGTATTTCTTGGGGAGACTGCCGGACAGAAGCACTGTGAGCAGGTGGAGGGCACAAGAACCAGCTGATCTTACACAAAAGGTATTAAATTAATGTATTCATATACAAATATTTTCATTAAAAAATTAAAACAGAGGTTGCAAGAACAATGTGATGTCTACCATATACCCTTTATCTAGTTCTATTAGTTAAACATTTTGCCACGTTATCTTTCTAAAACCATTTGAGAGTAAATTACACGTATCAAAAACTCCCATCCCTAAATACTTCAATGTGTATCTCTTAATATGCATACGCTTTTTCATAACCACCATTCTAGAATTCAAGAGGCTTAACACTTAAATAAAAATGAGGGGTGCCTGGGTGGGTTAAAGCCTCTGCCTTCGGCCCAGGTCATGATCTCAGAGTCCTGGGATCAAGCCCCGCATAGGGCTCTCTGCTCAGCAGGGAGCCTGCTTCCCTTCCTCTCTCGGCCTGCCTCTGCCTACTTGTGATCTCTGTCTGTCAAATAAATAAATAAAATCTTTAAATAAAAATAAAATATTCATTTAATACACAATCCATATTCAAATTTCAACAATTGCCCTGAAAAAATTCCTTTACAGCACTTTTCTCCCAATCCAGAATGATATGTTGCCTTTAGTGACATGTCTCTTTAATCCCTTAAATAGATAACAGGTTTTCCACTTTTTCTTTATCATTCGTGACACTGACCTTTTTTTAAAAGACGATAGGACAGTGGATGAATAGGATATTTCTCAATTTGCATTTTTCTGATTGTTCTTTGTGATTAGATTCAGAATATGGATTTTTTTGACTGGGATACTATGTAAGGGGTATTGTATGCTTCTCAGTATCTCACATCAGAAGGCATTTTGTGTCATTTTATCCCATAACTGGTGACATTAACTTTGATCATTTGGTTTGGGTGGTGTCTGTCCGATTTCTTTACTGTAAAGGGGCCATTTTGATCACTTTGTAATGAGTAAGAAATCTGAGGCTTCTGTGAGAGTGAGTAAATATCGTGTGTCAGTGATTTTAACATCTATTTTATTGTTTTAAAATCTATTGATAATTCCCTGTCTGAATCAATTATTACCATAATGGTCGCAAAATGGTGATTTCTTAATTTCACCATTTCCTCCAGTGTCTTAGTTATCAAGAAGAGGAGTTATTTCTCCTTTCTGGCCTTTGTATTTATTTATATATTTATTTAACCTAATTTTTTAAAGATTTTATTCATTTATCCGATAGAGATCACAAGTAGGCAGAGCAGCAGGCAGACAGAGAGAGGGGGAAGCAGGCTCCCTGCTGAGCAGAGAGCCTTACGCTGTGGATCCCAGGACCCTGAGATCATGACCCGAGCCAAAGGCAGAGGCCCAACCCACTGAGCCACCCAGGTGCCCCTATTTAACATTTTAAGAATAAATATGCACTTGTGTATTCTTTTTTGAAATCCATTGTGTTATAGTCCATTCTAATCATTATTCATTGGTGATGTTCCAATTGTCCCAGTTTTGGGAACGGGAGGTAGCTTCAAGCTGGCTTCTGTTGCTTTTGACATGTGCTCCATCACTCTGAAAATCTTGCTTTCCAGCACAAGTTCTTCATGGGCATTTTGTACTTTCCCTCTTTCTTTCTTCGAATCATTCATTTCTCCAGAGTCTGGTTCCTTTTAATAGAGATTGGCATTTAGAAAGCAAGATGTGGAGGCATATAATATATTTCAAAATATGAAATACCGCTGTTCCTGTTTCCTTGGGCCACCACATGGCATACTGATGTGTGGTGATTTGCAGTCCTGACTCTACCCTCACCATCATGACCCTGGCAATTCCCTTCATTCCTTGGGGTTTGATTCATCATCTGAAAAGAAATTGGATTAGGTAAGTATTTAACCTTTTCAGGGTCACCAACGCGTTTGTGAACCTGATAAAAGATACAGTGCCATCTCCCCAGAGACCATCTCAAAGAGGGAAAAATTCGCATTGTAGAGGGGGTTGAGGCTTTGAAGTCTCTGTGAGGCTCCAGATCCCTGGATTAGTGATCTCCAGTGTCTCTTCAAGCGCTGACGTTTTGGGAGTCTATAAGCGACCCATGCTGCTGTCAGAATGATTCCTGAGACCTCAAAATGTGGAAGGATTTATAGAGAAACCAATGAGAAAGGGATACGAAGGAAGGATCGGTGAGCGATGCATTGCTCAACCCCAGCTCTTGGCCGGTGCCTAATTTGCAGGCGCACTGCAGGCACAGGTGAGCGGTTTGGCGGGAAGGCCCTCAGGTAGGCGGAGAACGCCCAGACGAGGGAAGGAGACGGCCAGGTCGCTGCACCCCTCCATTCCGCCCACCAGGGCTCGCTCTTGTCCTTCGGCTGGGGTGGCCGAGGAACTGGGCGGGCCGGGGGGTGATCCCGCCCCTGGCAGCCGCAAGGCGGCGGAGAACCCGGGGTGCCTGAGTCCGGAAAGAACGCGCCGTCCAGGCCCCTCCCGTCTTGCCTCGCTCCCTCCCTCCCAGCAGCCGACGTCGGCGGTGCTCCGGTCGCCATGGTGACCAATCGAGGCCCGGTCCCGCCCCCGCCTCCCTGCCCCGGCCCCCTGACGTCGGCGCACGTCAGCGGCGGCGCGCGCCTGGCTGGGCCCAGCCGAGCGGGAGGGACCGAGCGGAGGAGCGAGCCGAGCGGCGTCGCCGGAGCCCAGCCGCGCCGCCGGCCCGCCAGCCCGCGCTCCAGTCCGCCGAGTCTAGCAGCGGGGCCCAGCATGGTCATGGCGGATGGCCCGAAGCACTTGCAGCGCGGGCCGGTCCGGGTGGGGTTCTACGACATCGAGGGCACGCTGGGCAAGGGTAACTTCGCCGTGGTGAAGCTGGGGCGGCACCGGATCACCAAGACGGAGGTGCGGCCCGGGGCTCGGCGGGAGCGTCCGGGGCGAGGGTCCGGGAGAGAGGAGCTGTTGGCCGGGAGCGGCGGCTGCAGCGGGGTTGGGGGGGGGGGTTGCTGGGTCTCTGGCTGAGTCTCTGGCTGAGGCGAGGGGCCTGGGACTGTGAGGACCCGGGAGCTGCAGGGGGGTCGGTGAGCGCCGAAGGGCTCGGGGCCCGGTCATCTGGACCCGAGTGTCGTCCAGTTGGAAACCCGACCGGCCGGGGCTTTGCCTTCTCTACGCCACCCCCGGTGGCCACACGGAATTTCTCCCAGAGCCTCCCACCCGGGCCGTGACCTGATCTGTGGCCTCCGCTCCGGAGCCCAAGTTCCGCGTCTTCCCAGCTTTCAGCTGGGGGTGGGGTGGGAGGGGAAGTCTGGGTGCTCCCAGGCTGCTCGAGGAGGGACGTCGCCAGCCCCGGGGAAGGGGCCGCCTGCGCTCGGACTCCGGGACGGGGCATCGCGCGGCCCCCGTGACCGCTGCGCCCCTCCCTGGCCCCTTGGGGAAGGGGCCCCGCGGCCGGGAATGCCCGGACGGCCATTGTCCATCGTCTGTGTCTCCTTTTGCCCGACAGCGTCTCTTGATTTGGTGTCAGGCTAGCTTGATCTCGTGCCTGAGGCATTTCCATCTAATACTCCAGACAATAGAACGGGTTAAAATGGTCATCTCTGCGCTTGCACGGTGGGTGGCTCGGTCTCGCTTCGCTCAGGTGGTCCCCTGACCAGGTGTGCGTTCTGGGGGCGAATGCGCGTTCCTTAAGCCACATCGGATTCTGCTTCTCTACTCCAGAAGCCCTCAACTGCGTCCTGGCGGTGAATCCAGCATCCCCCACTCCACTGCACATTCTGATGCACCGTACATATTTTCTCCCAAGTCTCTCTTCTTACCTAACCCGCCCCCCTTCCTTTCACTGCCTCAAGCTGCTCTCCTCAGGGTCTCTATTTTAAGACGTGCAAATTAAATACTTCAGAAAAAAATCAGTAGAAACAAAACTATTCTTTGGAATAAAACCTTGTGTTTTTGACGTACTCTACCCTGCCTTATTGCAGTTGTTCTGGAGTTTCATCCTTTTTCGGGTTTTTCTTTCCCCCAGTTTTCTTCCTATTCAGTTTTTCCCCCCTTAATATTGCGAACGTGTTAGAGTTTGAATATGCAGTAACCTAGGAACGGATTTTCATAATGGCTATGTGAGGTGTAGGACATTTGAAAACTTGAGTGATTTCTGTTGCTGCTGTTCTTGGAAGTTTTGCTTAATGTGAAGGAATCCATTTCCAAAAAGTAGGGGCACATGTCATTGCGTCATCTTCACTTTTTGTCCTCCCCTACTAATGGTGAGGCATTCCAAATCAGACTTATTTTATAGCATCAGGACCAAGGTCACAAATTTTCTCTCACAAATTTACCTTTGTTCGCAATTATACTAAGTTTTTAATGGTAAATAATGTGCCTATAGTGAGATTACTTCATCTTGATCTCAGCATTTTTAAAAATGAAGAAATTGATTCCATTCCTCTAAAGAACCATGGCCTAATGCCATGCTATTTCCCCATAAACTACAAAAAAGAAGGTATTTTTAATGCGTATTTTTATGAGTCCTTCCTTAATGACTCTAAAAATCAAACAGATTGTGCATTAAAGAAAGCTTCTTATAGAACTTTTGAACATTTTTATGTGGTTGAATTCCAAACCCATTAGTTCATAATTTTTTTTCTCATCAGCTTTTATCAATATTGGTCACGAGATTTAATTAATTCAGCTGCTACTTATTAGGCCAAATTTAGATACTAGGTTATCTATTTAAGAATTGTTTAGGTGAGCTGGTATTGAGTGACACTATCTCTTTTGGTTGACAGTTCAAACCAAGTTTCTTTTAAACTGATCCATCTGGTGGAGCTAGGGGGCACTGTGGAGTAGTACCGTGGTTTGGCCATCAGATATCAAGATCAATGCATTTGTAATTGAAGGCACAGGTTGGATCACTCAGATCCTACTATACATGTGAGACATGATTTAATTTGAAAGCTAAATTTCTAGTCCGTAGAACCCATTGCCCTTTGCTTTTCAAAAGAAAGTGTCTTTAACATATAAAAGGAAATAATGTCAGTTTAAGATGGGTGAGTGTCCCTGATAATATGGTGTGAGTGGAAATGTTAAAATTGAGAGGAATGAGGGAAATAGCAGGGTAATTAACAAAGAGAAAAGTTCTTATAGATCTGAAGTTTTGCAGAGGTGCTCTGTGAACTTTTGTGATAATTTGCATTAAGAATTGTTTAGCAATAGTACCTCTAGAATTATTTCTTAAAGTATACTACTAATGAGGATTTTTAAAGCAGTGCTTAGGATCTTCATTCATTGTCTGGATAAGTATTTCTGTCTTCAATGGACACAACTATCCCAAATACTATAAATAAGATGGCTAGTGGAAACCTTAAAGTTTTATTTAATCTTAAGTTTTCATTGCTGAGCATACTGCAGTATTACAGAGAGAACAATTAAAGTGGTATAAAGAACAATATCAGCTAAATATCATGATTACGCTTCCTACAGAAATTTCCTCATTATAGTATGTTTTAACATCAATGTAAGTTTGTGTTTTATTTTTTTTCTAAAGATTTTATTTATTTATTTATTTATTTGACAGAAATCACAGGTAGGCAGAGAGGCAGGCAGAAAGAGAGAGAGAGAGAGAGAGAGGAGGAAGCAGGCTCCCTGCAGAGCAGAGATCCCCATGCAGGGGCTCAATACCAGGACCCTAGGATCATGACCTGAGCCAAAGGCAGAGGCTTTAACCCACTGAGCCACCCAGGCGCCCCTAAGTTTGTGTTTTAAAAACTTAGAGGTCTTTTTTCCCAAGTTTGAACCCAAGACAAATTTTAGGGCTTAGTTTGAACAACTGTGCGGTAAACAACTGGACCCTGTTATTTTTACTTGGCTCTTCTCTGTCTCTTGTTCTGAATCACTGAAGAATGATGTATTTTCTACAGAGATTGGGAGATCCAAGACTGTTTGCCTTTTAGGAAAAAAAAAATCAGTACACAAAAAGAGATCTTCAATTTGGTCTAATCTATCAAATAGCTTAACATTGTTTAAGAAGTATAATTACATCATCATCTGAAGCTGTATTCTCATGTTAGATCTCTATGTAAATTTTGCACACAAAAGGGAAGGCAGGTGGTGGTAGAATCCAGCTTCCTAATATAATACTTCGGAAAAGCTTTGTAGTGTTGATTTGTGGTTTATGAATTAGAGTAGCTAATTTTATAAAATTAGCATAATGGGAAAAGAATAATAGCATTTAGACTGTTAAACTATTTTAGGCAGTAGTGGTTGCTAGTTTGCTATGCTGTGGCTCTCCTTGAGCAGTGTTTTATTTTATCAAAACTGTACTAGCAAAGAATTTCTTCCTTCTAATTGTATGGCTAGTTTTTTGTTGGTTTTTGTCTGTTGAATAAAATTCCGAAAAAGTCATTTGTGCCCATAAGTTGTTTTTGTTTTCTGTTAAAGAGTCTTACTATAAAAAATGTAAATTAGAGTATAGTGCACAAAAAATACATGGGCATTTCCTCCACCAATGGGAGTAAATCATTCCCATGGCATATTTCCTTCTGGTCTTTTTTTCATTATTATTATTTTCCACAGATGAAATCACATGCTGTATACACTTACATATATTACATCATTTTTTACACTTATTGTATAGCATATTTTGCTTATTATATATCTTTATAAGGTACAGAAGTACCTTATATTACCTTATATTAAAAAATATATTAAAAGTACCTTATATTAAAAAATAGCTGCATAGTGTTCCACCTTGTAAATGAATTCTATCTTATTGAACAATTTTCTTATTATTAAACATTTCCAGTTTTCACTTACAGTAAGTAATCTGAATAATATTTGCATATGTAACTGCTGTTTTTTCGAGAGGAGGAGGCAGGAAGAGGGAGTGGGATTTGGAGGTAAATTCCTAGAAAGGAAGTTGTCAAGTGAAAAGATACTATTGTTGCATTAAAGAACAATGTATATTATCGAACTGATACATTTATTTTTTTTTTTTAAAGATTTTATTTATTTACTTGACAGACAGAGATCACAAGTAGGCAGAGAGGCAGGCAGAAAGAGAGGAAGGGAAGCAGGCTCCCTGCTGAGTGGAGAGCCTGATGCGAGGCTCCATCCCAGGACCCTGGGATCATGACCTGAGCTGAAGGCAGAGGCTTTAACCCACTGAGCCACCCAGGCGCCCCTGATACATTTATTATTGAAAATTTTTAAAGTATAGGTAAATGAAAAAAAAATTACCCATAAGATCACACCCCAAGATAACCATTAGTTGTTTTCAGATCTTTTCAGTGACCATTATATTTTCCTCAATACCAGACCTCTTGCATTGCTTAGCTAAAGAGCATATAAGCATGTGGTCCATAGACCCTTAAAGCTATTTCACAGAGGTTCTGATAATTACCTTATTAAAATGGCATGTTGGCGGGTGCCTGGGTGGCTCAGTCAGTAAATCATCTGCCTTCAGGTCAGGTCATGATCCCAGGGTCCTGGGATCAAGTGCCATGTCAGGCTCCCTGCTCAACGGGGAGTCTGCTTCTCCCTCTGGCCTGCCTTTCCCCCTGCTTGTGTGTGCGTGCTCTCTTCCTCTCTCTCTCTCTGACAAATAAATAAACTCTTTTTAAAAAATGAAATAGGGTGCCTGGGTGGCTCAGTGGGTTAAGCCGCTGCCTTCGGCTCGGGTCATGATCTCAGAGTGCTGGGATCGAGTCCCACATCGGGCTCTCTGCTCAGCAGGGAGCCTGCTTCCCTCTCTCTCTCTGCCTGCCTCTCTGTCTACTTGTGATCCCTCTCTGTAAAATAAATAAATAAAATCTTTAAAAAAAAAAAAATGAAATAAAATGGCATGTTGGTGTTGGACTACTTACTTATCCTTAAGAGAACCTGGAATGCAGAACTGATAGCATAGACATTCT